GTTTCATATATTGCCACCACTGAATTAATTACTTCTATGAGTCCGGTGTTCATCTTGCTGTGCTAATTAGGTATGGCAACTTGAAACGATGCATTATGTGCCTGGTCCTACGTTGTAGCTGACTGACTGATTAACATTTACGCTTTACCATTTCTGCATGTGTATCTCAATCATGTAATTAGACGCTGTGTTACTTTGAACATCTATCTTTATATCCATTGGATTGTCATATCACATACGTAACCCGACTAAGAATAAATAACGAACAGTTTTGCATATATCTTTAGACAGTCAGCCATAATCAATGTAGAATCCAAGAATGTATATACGTTTATCTAAGTTCCCACATATTAACGTTTAATTGCAAAGGAATTAAAATAATATAGCAGCTATCATTCTAAGAAAGATTAAACAATCCAGATATTATTCGAAAATACAGGTGCACAATCTTTACTTTATAGCGCACGATAACAAAAGGAATGAATCTGTGCCACAGTCAGTCAGTCAGTCACAACGTAGAACTTCGTACGTACGTACATCAGTTCGAGTTGCTACACCACATTAGCACAGAGACGCAGTTGTCAATTCAAATCCCGTAGTGCTAAAGTTAGTAAAAGTACAAGCAATAATCGGAAACATTAGGGTCTGAAGATGTTATTCAAGGAGTATAATACAGTGAAATAAATTTGGGAAGAGAAAGAAAGGGACATGAAGAAATCAGAAGATTAGAATTTGGGAGGACATAAAGAGTGGATGCACCTGTGTCATTGCAAACGATTTTGAGCCATGTCACTCAGGGTTTCTAACCATTGGTTGCCAACATCTCGCGGTCCCCAACCAGGTAGTCTACACCCACCCATATGAGACTGTTCCGCTGTGACTCATTATAACACATGTCACCACCGGATGCTTCATTATAATAAATATTGATTCGTTCAAGCTGTAGATCTAAATCACCATGATATGTTCCAGTCGGATCAATGCCATGCTCATCTAAAATAACTTCCGTTGCAAATATGTTCCAAGAGCTATGTTAGTGAACATAGAACCAGGTACAATGGATAGTGTTCGTTTAGGACTTTTCGGACAAATTTTCCGTCCTGATAATTTTGTATTTGGTCAAAGTGGCACTGGGAATAATTGGGCTAAAGGCCATTATACAGAAGGAGCCGAACTTGTAGATTCCGTCTTAGATGTCGTAAGAAAAGAAGCGCAATCCTGTGACTGCCTTCAAGGATTTCAATTGACTCATTCACTCGGTGGTAGTACAGGTTCTGGTATGGGGACATTGTTGATCTCAAAGATTCGTGAGGAGTATCCTGATCGAATTATGAATACATTTTTGGTTGTCCTCTCACCAAAAGTATCCGATACTGTTGTTGAGCCTTACAACGCGACGTTATCTGTTCACCAACTGGTTGAGAATACTGATGAAACATACTGCATTGACAATGAAGCGCTTTATGACATTTGTTTCCGAACATTGAAACTCACAACCCCTACATACGGTGATTTAAATCATCTGGTCAGTGCGACAATGTCTGGAGTCATTACTTGTCTCCGATTTCACGGACAGTTGAATGCTGATCTTCGGAAGCTGGCCGTGAATATGGTCCCATTCCCAGGTCTGCACTTTCTCATGCCTGGCTTCGCAACGTTTACTAGCCGTAGCAGTCAACAATATCGTTCACTCACTGTTCCTGAGTTGACTCAACAAATGTTTGACGCACAGAATATGATGGCTGCATGAGATCCGCGTCATTGGCGCTATTTAGCAGTCGCGGCTATTTTCCGTGGCCGTATGTCTATGAAGGAAGTCGACGAGCAGATATTGAATTCTCAGACTAAAAACTGCAGTTACTTTGTTGACTGGATTTCCAATAATGTCAAGACTGCCGTCTGCGATATCCCATCCCCGTCGCCAAATTTGCTAGGTTTGAAGCTTCACGAGTTCACTTAAACTGCGAACGAGAACGAGACTCAATGACCAAGACCAGTAATCTAGCTATTGATGCGTTCCAGACCCGCTACCTAGAAGGAGAAGTCCAACCGTGTTATGGAAAATATATTCTGCAAACAACCAGAAAACGAGCGAGCACCAGAAACACAATTTAAAACTTAGATATACAAATAAATGTATATATATATCGATTTTGTCATGGAGCTTTTAAATATTTAATCGATAAATTCTCCAATTGACTGCCATTGATATATTCAAACATTTAATCGATAAGTTCATCGATCGACTATGTGCATGGATGGTAAAAAATTCTCACGCATACATCTGCATACAAGCTCCACAAGATAAAATTACAAACTATGAGTTTTTGGGGTTCTATCGTCCACAATAGGATCTAGATAATTTATACAAATATTCGTTGATATTTGAACGAATAGTTTGACAGAAATTAGACTTCGATTATAGAGAAACCAATTTTCTTTGAATAGGAATATCTGCGTATTGTTTTTATCAAAAAGTGTATAGTGTCATCATAAATCCACTAAAATACTTATCCTGTGGCTTTTTCGTGATCATCTGTGTCAGTCAACATTACATTGTAATAAGGTGGTGGCTGAAATCAGATAATGCATAAAGTTACCGGTTTTGGAGAGGACGGTTTGTTCTATCCGTCATTTTCCAATTGTTAGGTATTTGCGGCCCTGTTTATCGGTTTATCAGCTCAATATAATAATTTGCTTTTAAGATCGTTATATACTCAGTTATTTTTCTTTACGTGAGATACGTCGGTCTATGGTCAAACACTAACAACTTTACACATTTCCCAATTACGAAGGACGTTCTACAATATGATCCACCGTTATACAGTGCACTTAACGTTCTATGTGGTAGTTTCAAAAACCTGGTGCCAGAAATTAGGTCTTTAACTCTCATCTTTCGACACGCCTGTTCAAAACGTCGGAATAAATTGCAGTTGTGTCACTTAGCCTTACTATCATTTAAATGGAATTAAACTAGCTTTGTAATTCGTTGTTTTTAGTGGTCTCATGTCGTACATAGCGGAAACTCAAGTTTTTTCTGAACAGTGCTTTCTATTTATAGTACTAATAAAGCCATATTGTGTTTTGTTTTCTTTCTTAAAATAAAAGTGGTTTAGACACAGACTTTTCTCACTCTAATATATGAAATTGTATTAAATTTCAAAGTTAACGTGGGCGGAAAGCATAAATTCTGCTAATTGAATGTGACGGGTATTTTCGGTTTATTTCATATCAGATATAAGATTTGTATAACGTAAATATGCCAATGAGGGTTTCGTGGAATTGATACATCATCGTGTTTAGATTTCTTGAGAACTATTATCAAGCTTCCACTGCTCACACATGCATGGTACATCTGCTTTCCGAGACGTAGTTTTTAATTCTGAACCTCGAACAATTATAATTTCAACTTGACATTATCTTCTCACTTTTACGTGGTAGATGAACTACACATATACTAATATTATGAAGTAATTTTTCGCCATACATCACATTCTTACCTATACATCTTTTTTAATAGCTAAGAGAATTCCAAGCTGCCAAGGCTTACAAACAGTCAAATGAATCATATGTCAACCAAACTCATGGTTTCAACGTTTCGGGGACTGAGGGCTATCGAGTAAGTAATGGGAAAGGTTTTAATGCAGACCGACTTGATTAACAAAATCAACTTTGGGTATGATTTTCAACTAATTGATGGTGTTTTATGCTTGGCCGTGTGTCTCGTTTTCAGTTAGTTTGTTGTCATATAGCGTTGATATGTTGAATAAAAGTAGATGAAGCCAAAAAATAATTTCTATGTGAAATGTTTAGTAACTTTTAGCTTCTGCATAAAGTCATTAAGTTCACTAAAAGTTGTACATCTAAGGTCATTAATTATAGTTTATGCCTTAAATATCTTTTTGAAGCTATTATTTATCCTAAATATTACCTTGATTCGTTTGATTTTTCTTTTCCAGATCAACTTTTTATCACAAAACGAAGATAATCAATGCATGTAAGCATATTTCAGTACTCATTTGTTTACGTGCATAACTTTCCAATGAATTCGGTTTCTACAGATTACCCGTTGATAATTGTTAGTCCATTCAACTTGAGAAGAAGCAAAAATAGCAGCACGGATTTAATTTATCAAATGTAAATATCAATGAACATTATGCGAATGCTTCAATATATCAAACATAATTGTTATAACCCAGTGAAGATTAAGTTACAGGTAACTTCTGAGGACTATTAATGGACTAATATTCTATAAATATTCTCATTGTATAATTATTCAATAATTACATTATATGTATCTATATTCCTCTAATTATAAGCTTTATTTTGATCTATAATTTATTATTGTGCGATTTACGGTCCTTAATCTATGTTCAGTCTATTAATTACTATCTCCCGCGTTCATAGCCACTTTTTCGCTTATTTGTGTACACATGTTATTTTCTATTTTATGGTACCTTGTGGTTTGTCTGATTGGTATATAAATAAAGTATGTTTGAAATACATAATTCATATTGCGGAAGGTGTTAGTGCGTTGTGCTTTTTTTGACTCAAGCAGACGGATTAGAAGGGGACCTCGGACCAACAAGGCGCTAGACTGACCACATCGCTTTAAAGTCATTGGTTGGTAAATAGAGTGAAGATTTACATAAGTCGTATTCTGATTGGTGGATAATTTGCGTCGTAGAAAGGTCAGACATCAAGGTCACAACAACAATCTCAATCGAGTGTGACAGTACCACAGAATAATGATGATGGAGTTATATCACTTGCTGATAATTTAAATAATTCTACTCATTATTAACATCCACCAACGCTTCAATCTCTTCCTAATAATAACAATGATAATAATGATAATGATAATTATTCCAATTCTTATAGTGAAAATGGTCAATGTGTTTTACATGACTTGACAATTCATTCGAATCTCACTGATAAACATCAGTTTGTTGTTTCGTCTCCTATCTCATTGTCATCTGCATTTGAAATACCTAATAGAAATGCAAATCAAACTTTGCCAATCACTGACAATACAGAGTACCTCAGTTATTGTATGTATGTATAATAGTATTAATAATAATAATAATAATAATAATAATAATAATAATAATAAAGATAATAGTAATAATAATATACCTGCTAATATCGAATTTAGCAGGCAGCTGAGCGAATCGGATTCTAACGATTCCACTGTTTTTCCAACATCGTATTATCATCCTTCTTCCGAGTCTGCTGCTATTCATAATGTAAATGATTCTAATCAATGAAATAATACACATGTACAATCATCTTTTCCACAATATGATGGTGATGGAGAAGAGGAGGAAGTGGCAAACGATATGTCTATAATGTCTATAATCCAAAATCATTTAACGCGAGAACTTGAAGTAAGTTACTGCTAATTCTGTAATACTCTCAATAAAGTAATCAGTTGTTTTTTTTCTGTCTACAATTTTCGTAAGCGTCCGTTTGTTTGTTTATTTATTGGTCTGTTTATCTCACGATATTTATCATGTTTGGGTTGCATAGTTGTATGTAGTCTTGACAGCAGATAATGAAAAGAGAATGGCGATGGTTTTCTAACAGTTGTTCACTGAGTCATTCGATCAGTTGTGTAGAGAGTTATGAGAGGAGGAAAAGTGATTCTATATATTCCACAGATAATTACCATCTGAGTTGAATTTTATGTAATATCCCTGAAGAATCTCGGACATGTGTTATTTAGTCTGGAATTAACACACATTAACGAATTAACCTGCAATAAAGGTTCTGGTGGCCAAAAGAATTATTCTTAGTTTCAGTTTCTTGTATTTGTGACAGTAATTCATATCATCCTATCAACGTTGTCTTTTGCTTGGTTTCTAAAATTAAGTTGCAAATCAAAGTAAGCTATAGTTTTGAGCTTCATTAAAGTTAGTTTAACAGGTTTATTCTCCGTAATATTGTGACTTATATAAAACGTTTTCATAACTTAGTATGTTGCTATTATTCATCATATAAATCCACTGTCTGTTTAGGGAAGATGTGCTAGTATGCGACATTTATTTGCTGGTACTAACCGGTACTATCCAGTTAAATTTGTTGAAGTGTAGTATTATTAGAATTTCTTACTTAGTACCGATTTATTTAATCGGCTTTAAGATACACTAGTTATGAGAGCTAGTGATCAAAACCGATGGGTTGTAGTTTGAGTCTGCTACTTACTGATTGAAATTCAAATACCTTAATCACTAAACCGTCGTTCTATGAAGAAATGAAAGGCTGAAAAGTAAGCCACCAATTCACAGTCTTATTTAGATCTTCTAAGCCATATTTAATGTATTACAGTCTACTGGACTAGGAACTCGATTCCTTTTCGTTTATCCGTTTGCTTAATTTATTCGTCTGCATAATTTTCAACTCATTTTCATAGAGCTTCACAACTATAATACAAAACTCTGATAACTATATTTATCTATATATGTGCATGATAATTGTTGATTATTTGATACAATATGGTTGAAGATAATTGAAAAGAAACAAATGACATTGAGTCTTTCTTTTTATATTCTACTTGAGAAATAAATGTTGAATTAGCTTCAATGTTAGAAAAATGCAATCGAGCATATGAATGTCCAACAGTTAAAATGAACTTAATGAAAGATCAATATGAACGTCGATTAACTGATTTAAACAGTGAATGTACAAATTTACAAAATATTTCTCAAAGAGATTTAAAGAAAACTAAAGAACAAGTTAGTGTTACTGTTCAGGAACTCTTTTCACTAACATTCTTGAATTTATCAGATATGTGTTATCAGTGAAAAATAAGTGAAAACTATGATTTCAGGGAAATAAATGTTGCGGTAACTTAGTGATCTGTATGTATTTAAAAGAAAATTTGTTTGACATTTCGGCTTCAAACACAGCACCTAGAACAATGTGACTGAGAACCAAACACACAAACTTGTTCTTGTATTGATGAATGAACATGTTAAAGATAATAATTAACTGACCAGTCAAGGAAGATGACTATCTGATTATTATAGGTATAGGTGCTGTGTTTGAAGCCGAAATGTCAAACAAATTTTCTTTTAAATACATACAGATCACTAAGTTACCGCAACATTTATTTCCCTGAAATCATAGTTTTCACTTATTTTTCACTGATAACACATATCTGATAAATTCAAGAATGTTAGTGAAAAGAGTTCCTGAACAGTAACACTAACTTGTTCTTTAGTTTTCTTTAAATCTCTTTGAGAAATATTTTGTAAATTTGTACATTCACTGTTTAAATCAGTTAATCGACGTTCATATTGATCTTTCATTAAGTTCATTTTAACTGTTGGACATTCATATGCTCGATTGCATTTTTCTAACATTGAAGCTAATTCAACATTTATTTCTCAAGTAGAATATAAAAAGAAAGACTCAATGTCATTTGTTTCTTTTCAATTATCTTCAACCATATTGTATCAAATAATCAACAATTATCATGCACATATATAGATAAATATAGTTATCAGAGTTTTGTATTATAGTTGTGAAGCTCTATGAAAATGAGTTGAAAATTATGCAGACGAATAAATTAAGCAAACGGATAAACGAAAAGGAATCGAGTTCCTAGTCCAGTAGACTGTAATACATTAAATATGGCTTAGAAGATCTAAATAAGACTGTGAATTGGTGGCTTACTTTTCAGCCTTTCATTTCTTCATAGAACGACGGTTTAGTGATTAAGGTATTTGAATTTCAATCAGTAAGTAGCAGACTCAAACTACAACCCATCGGTTTTGATCACTAGCTCTCATAACTAGTGTATCTTAAAGCCGATTAAATAAATCGGTACTAAGTAAGAAATTCTAATAATACTACACTTCAACAAATTTAACTGGATAGTACCGGTTAGTACCAGCAAATAAATGTCGCATACTAGCACATCTTCCCTAAACAGACAGTGGATTTATATGATGAATAATAGCAACATACTAAGTTATGAAAACGTTTTATATAAGTCACAATATTACGGAGAATAAACCTGTTAAACTAACTTTAATGAAGCTCAAAACTATAGCTTACTTTGATTTGCAACTTAATTTTAGAAACCAAGCAAAAGACAACGTTGATAGGATGATATGAATTACTGTCACAAATACAAGAAACTGAAACTAAGAATAATTCTTTTGGCCACCAGAACCTTTATTGCAGGTTAATTCGTTAATGTGTGTTAATTCCAGACTAAATAACACATGTCCGAGATTCTTCAGGGATATTACATAAAATTCAACTCAGATGGTAATTATCTGTGGAATATATAGAATCACTTTTCCTCCTCTCATAACTCTCTACACAACTGATCGAATGACTCAGTGAACAACTGTTAGAAAACCATCGCCATTCTCTTTTCATTATCTGCTGTCAAGACTACATACAACTATGCAACCCAAACATGATAAATATCGTGAGATAAACAGACCAATAAATAAACAAACAAACGGACGCTTACGAAAATTGTAGACAGAAAAAAAACAACTGATTACTTTATTGAGAGTATTACAGAATTAGCAGTAACTTACTTCAAGTTCTCGCGTTAAATGATTTTGGATTATAGACATTATAGACATATCGTTTGCCACTTCCTCCTCTTCTCCATCACCATCATATTGTGGAAAAGATGATTGTACATGTGTATTATTTCATTGATTAGAATCATTTACATTATGAATAGCAGCAGACTCGGAAGAAGGATGATAATACGATGTTGGAAAAACAGTGGAATCGTTAGAATCCGATTCGCTCAGCTGCCTGCTAAATTCGATATTAGCAGGTATATTATTATTACTATTATCTTTATTATTATTATTATTATTATTATTATTATTATTATTATTATTATTATTATTATTATTATTATTAATACTATTATACATACATACAATAACTGAGGTACTCTGTATTGTCAGTGATTGGCAAAGTTTGATTTGCATTTCTATTAGGTATTTCAAATGCAGATGACAATGAGATAGGAGACGAAACAACAAACTGATGTTTATCAGTGAGATTCGAATGAATTGTCAAGTCATGTAAAACACATTGACCATTTTCACTATAAGAATTGGAATAATTATCATTATCATTATTATCTCTCACCTATTGTACTATACTATTATCTACATAAAACCAATTATTTCCATCAAGTGTAAATAGCTGAAGTTCATCAACCATACAAATAGAAATCGAAAGCGAAACAGAAAAAAACGAGAATAACGAAATCATTCATCCAACCATCAATGATAATAATAATAATGACAATAATAATTAATAAGTGAGTTATGCATCTACTTTGGCTTCTTCTCTACATCTTCATATTTTTCTGTTGCTTTCAATTTATACCAATTGAATAATGATTGTAATGTGTTTAATTTTCAATGTACATCATCACAATGAACCATATAGTCTCGATCATGTTGTTTAGTGAAATTCATTCGATTTAAATGAAACAATCGTTGTTGTTGTTGTTGTTTATGTGTTTGATTTGCTATGAGTATTTCCATCAGACAACCAGTAGATTGATGATGGTGCTGTTCGTCCGACAAGCACAGACGATGTTCAAATAATTCTGTGTTAGACCAAGATGATAAAGAAGCTGGACTGATTGGATTTGCGAATTGTGGTCGATGACCGATGCTCGATTGGCGGTATTAGCCACAAGTACTGTGTACCGTGTACAGAACACGAGTGAGGGCGTAGAACATTGGTATCATGTTTAAACTTTATTACGCAAATTTGATCAATATATTTATATAAATATAATAATGTATATTGATAAATGAGAATTGTGAGAATACTTGAGATTAGAGAAATGTGCCTCAATGCATGTGCACATTTGCATGGAGATATTCAGCATAGTGGAGATTGAGTTTTGTTGAGTATTCCGAATGAATATCTACTGTGTGGAGTTGGAGTGTATGAGAGTGTGGTGTAGAATTGGCATTGTTATGCTGAGCTATTGGAATGGTGAATGTGTCGCATTGACGTGTGAGAACATGAATGAAATGAGAGATCTGTTGAACGGAATGTGTGTTGATTGTTTTCACGTTGGAGTTAATGAAGCGAGAATGGATGAGATGTATGCATGTGTTTAATGGAGGAGTTGATGAAAGTAGATGATGCATTGCAGGATGTTAGCAATGGATTGTGTGAAGTATTAGTGTGAACTGATTGTGATTAAACAGTGAATATTTAATGAGTGGTTTTGTAATTGACATATGAATGCCTACCTTTTACTTTGGACAACCATTTCAGTATATATTCTTTGGAAACTTTGTAGAAAATCGGAATCACGTTTTAATGTGAATGCACAAATTTGATAAATATATTTATATAAATATATAAATATATATTGATCAATATGAAATGTGAGAATACGTGAGATTAGAGAAATGTGCCTCAATGCATGTGCACATTTGCATGGAGATATTCAGCATAGTGGAGATTGAGTTTTGTTGAGTATTCCGAATGAATATCTACTGTGTGGAGTTGGAGTGTATGAGAGTGTGGTGTAGAATTGGCATTGTTATGCTGAGCTATTGGAATGGTGAATGTGTCGCATTGACGTGTGTGATCATGAATGAAATGAGAGAACTGTTGAACGGAATGTGTGTTGATTGTTTTCACGTTGGAGTTAATGAAGCGAGAATGGATGAGATGTATGCATGTGTTTAATGGAGGAGTTGATGAAAGTAGATGATGCATTGCAGGATGTTAGCAATGGATTGTGTGAAGTATTAGTGTGAACTGATTGTGATTAAACAGTGAATATTCAATGAGTGGTTTTGTAATTGACATATGAATACCTACCATTTACATCGGAAAAGAGTAGTATTGTTTCTTGTTTGTAATCTTTGTAGAAAATCGGAATCACGTTTTAATTTGAATGCACAAATTTGATATAAATCTTTTCACGTAAATATATACAGATATATTGATAAATGTGAAATGTGAGAATACGTGAGATTAGAGAAATGTGCCTGAATGCATGTGCACATTTGCATGGAGATATTCAGCATAGTGGAGATTGAGTTTTGTTGAGTATTCCGAATGAATATCTACTGTGTGGAGTTGGAGTGTATGAGAGTGTGGTGTAGAATTGGCATTGTTATGCTGAGCTATTGGAATGATGAATGTGTCGCACTGACGTGTGTGAACATGAATGAAATGAGAGAACTGTTGAACGGAATGTGTGTTGATTGTTTTCACGTTGGAGTTAATGAAGCGAGAATGGATGAGATGTATGCATGTGTTTAATGGAGGAGTTGATGAAAGTAGATGATGCATTGCAGGATGTTAGCAATGGATTGTGTGCAGTATTAGTGTGAACTGATTGTGATTAAACAGTGATTATTTAATGAGTGGTTTTGTAATTGACGTATGAATACCTACCTTTTACATTGGAAATGAGATGTATTGTATCACCTTTTATATCTTTGTAGAAAATCGGAATCACGTTTTAATTTGAATGCACAAATTTGATATAAATCTTTTCACGTAAATATATACAGATATATTGATAAATGTGAAATGTGAGAATACGTGAGATTAGAGAAATGTGCCTCAATGCATGTGCACATTTGCATGGAGATATTCAGCATAGTGGAGATTGAGTTTTGTTGAGTATTCCGAATGAATATCTACTGTGTGGAGTTGGAGTGTATGAGAGTGTGGTGTAGAATTGGCATTGTTATGCTGAGCTATTGGAATGGTGAATGTGTCGCATTGACGTGTGAGAACATGAATGAAATGAGAGAACTGTTGAACGGAATGTGTGTTGATTGTTTTCACGTTGGAGTTAATGAAGCGAGAATGGATGAGATGTATGCATGTGTTTAATGGAGGAGTTGATGAAAGTAGATGATGCATTGCAGGATGTTAGCAATGGATTGTGTGAAGTATTAGTGTGAACTGATTGTGAGTATAAAGTGCGTATTTGATGATTGATTTTGCAATTAACATATGAAAACCTACCATCTTTAATGAAAAACCATTTCAAAATCAGTTCTGTTAAAATGGCGTAGAACATTGGTAGCATGATTAAATATTATTACGCAAATTTCAACTATATACTTATATATTTATAAGAAGGTATATTGATAAATGTGAAATGTGAGAATACGTGAGATTAGAGAAATGTGCCTCAATGCATGTGCACATTTGCATGGAGATATTCAGCATAGTGGAGATTGAGTTTTGTTGAGTATTCCGAATGAATATCTACTGTGTGGAGTTGGAGTGTATGAGAGTGTGGTGTAGAATTGGCATTGTTATGCTGAGCTATTGGAATGGTGAATGTGTCCCACTGACGTGTGTGAACATGAATGAAATGAGAGAACTGTTGAACGGAATGTGTGTTGATTGTTTTCACGTTGGAGTTAATGAAGCGAGAATGGATGAGATGTATGCATGTGTTTAATGGAGGAGTTGATGAAAGTAGATGATGCATTGCAGGATGTTAGCAATGGATTGTGTGAAGTATTAGTGTGAACTGATTGTGATTAAACAGTGAATATTTAATGAGTGGTTTTGTAATTGACGTATGAATACCTACCTTTTACATCGGACAACCAGGTCAGTATATCTTCTTTAGAAACTTTGTAGAAAATCGGAATCACGTTTTAATTTGAATGCACAAATTTGATATAAATCTTTTCACGTAAATATATACAGATATATTGATAAATGTGAAATGTGAGAATACGTGAGATTAGAGAAATGTGCCTCAATGCATGTGCACATTTGCATGGAGATATTCAGCATAGTGGAGATTGAGTTTTGTTGAGTATTCCGAATGAATATCTACTGTGTGGAGTTGGAGTGTATGAGAGTGTGGTGTAGAATTGGCATTGTTATGCTGAGCTATTGGAATGGTGAATGTGTCGCATTGACGTGTGAGAACATGAATGAAATGAGAGAACTGTTGAACGGAATGTGTGTTGATTGTTTTCACGTTGGAGTTAATGAAGCGAGAATGGATGAGATGTATGCATGTGTTTAATGGAGGAGTTGATGAAAGTAGATGATGCATTGCAGGATGTTAGCAATGGATTGTGTGAAGTATTAGTGTGAACTGATTGTGATTAAACAGTGAATATTTAATGAGTGGTTTTGTAATTGACATATGAATACCTACCTTTTACATTGGACCACCATTTCAGTATATCATTTTTGGAAACTTTGTAGAAAATCGGAATCACGTTTTAATTTGAATGCACAAATTTGATATAAAACTTTTCACGTAAATATATACAGATATATTGATAAATGTGAAATGTGAGAATACGTGAGATTAGAGAAATGTGCCTCAATGCATGTGCACATTTGCATGGAGATATTCAGCATAGTGGAGATTGAGTTTTGTTGAGTATTCCGAATGAATATCTACTGTGTGGAGTTGGAGTGTATGAGAGTGTGGTGTAGAATTGGCATTGTTATGCTGAGCTATTGGAATGATGAATGTGTCGCACTGACGTGTGTGAACATGAATGAAATGAGAGAACTGTTGAACGGAATGTGTGTTGATTGTTTTCACGTTGGAGTTAATGAAGCGAGAATGGATGAGATGTATGCATGTGTTTAATGGAGGAGTTGATGAAAGTAGATGATGCATTGCAGGATGTTAGCAATGGATTGTGTGAAGTATTAGTGTGAACTGATTGTGAATAGGTAGTGTGTACTTGATGATTGATTTTGCAAATAACATATGAATACCTACCATCGTTAACCAACAACCATTTCCAATTCCCTTCTGTTAAAACGGCGTAGAAAATCGGTATCATGTTTAAACATTATTACGCAAATTTCAACTATATATTTATATATTTATAAGAAGGTATATTGATAAATGTGAAATGTGAGAATACGTGAGATTAGAGAAATGTGCCTGAATGCATGTGCACATTTGCATGGAGATATTCAGCATAGTGGAGATTGAGTTTTGTTGAGTATTCCGAATGAATATCTACTGTGTGGAGTTGGAGTGTATGAGAGTGTGGTGTCGAATTGGCATTGTTATGCTGAGCTATTGGAATGGTGAATGTGTCGCACTGACGTGTGTGAACATGAATGAAATGAGAGAACTGTTGAACGGAATGTGTGTTGATTGTTTTCACGTTGGAGTTAATGAAGCGAGAATGGATGAGATGTATGCATGTGGTTAATGGAGGAGTTGATGAGAGTAGATGATGCATTGCAGGATGTTAGCAATGGATTGTGTGCAGTATTAGTGTGAACTGATTGTGAATAGGTAGTGT